AGAAATACTTTTAAATATTCAAAAATTCATATTTTTTAGTTTTATAAATTTTATATTTATGTAATTTAATATACAACGACTGAGTCGCGTCAATCAACAACTTGTCTAAAACTTTTCTATGAACAATTAGGCAATCCAATGTTGATAAGTCTTCATTATCATGAGTTAATAATTAGTAAATAATATAGTTTTAACTTCAACTCATGATAAATAGACTTATATTTGTGTTAAAGTGTGAAAAGTGGTTTTCAGTTAATTAATGTAAATTTTTGGGTAATTATGTGATTTTACATGAATTTATATGATTTTACAATCTTGCTTTTACGATAAATGAATAAAAAGAAATTAAAAATAAAAATAAGACAAAAATAAGGGGGACCCATCAGCCGTTGGGCCCGCAAGCGGGTTGGAAGCGTAGTCGGGGAGTAGCCGCGAGTAAGGGCTCGAGTGGCTTGAACCGATAGAGGCATGCGTGCGCCACTCCCCTTCCACGTCACTAGTGGCCAGCCGACTGTGGGGCAAGGAGTGGTCATATACATGCGAGAAAGGGACTTTGTTTAGAAATGTAGTAATATTATATATTCGCCCAAAAATTTGGTGCACAACCAAGGTGAGACTAAACCCATCACCTTCCTCAGAAGAGGTGAGAGCAACCGGTGAGGGTTTGAATCCTCCGGAGCTAAAACTCATATTTTTATCTGATTATCGTGACTTTCTTATAGATCCCTGATAAAGGATTAAGCAACCAGAATAGTTGGATCATTGGCGAAAATCTCATCAATATGATTCACGGAGTATTATTACTAAAATTACTGAAGGATTTGCGATAAAAGGATTGCGAATTCATCGAGTAAATCATCTTTGATTGATCGCAAACAAGCTGTCATTGAGAAGAGGACGATCCGCTGGGAGATGAGTCACCACCTCCTGAGAGCATACCGGATGCGATGAAGAGCCTCCTCTTGCTGCGCAGACCTGAGGATGAAGCTCCCTGACACGCGCCCCACCTCCATCTAGCTCCTCTCTGTCGGGTGACAGTCGTCAGAAAGCCACAAAGTCACCGTTTTTCTACTCCGCCAAGTACAGCCACCGGAGACGATTCGATGACCCATTTTATTGATTTTTAGACTTTACAAGGAGATCTAGGATTCCGGCGTCCAATGAGAGCTTTCGAGGCCGTAAACATTACACGACGATTCTCCCAAATGCTTAGGATTCCGGTGCATCGCTGATGCATCGTCGTTGCGACGTCGGAACTCTATTTTCCTACTTTCAACTTACTTTATGCTTCATTTAGTGATAATTTTTGTGTTTTTAATACCAAAATATACTTTGTTCAATTACGATTCTTCAAACTTTTATAGATCTTAATTTGATTAATTAAATCATCTGTAATCGTTTACGTAAGAATCACTAGGCAGAACTCTATTTCCGCCCAATTTACATTCATCGAGCACTAACATCATCCTAACATCTACACCCTTATTTCCTTTTTTTGTGAATTTTCAATATATTTCCTTTTCATTTCTTAGTATAAAATTCATAGAAAATCATATTCATTGAGAAAAATTCTCACTAATTATCAGATATTATATTACATCCTTGTGATTGACTTGGTAAATTATCATTATTTGTGGAAGTTTTATTGAATTATAATTGATATATTTGTTCGAAAATACTTCTAAATATTCAAAAAATCATATTTTCTAGTTTTATAAATTTTAAATTTGCGTGATTTACTATACAATGACTGAGTCACGTCAAATTTTGATCTGTTTTTGCCCGATTCACATTTGTTGGGGCTTTGACGTCATCTTGATGTCCGCACCCTTATTTCTCTTTTTTATAAATTTTAAATATATTTTATTTTCATTTCCTAGTGTAAAATTCATAAAAAATCATATTCATTGAGGAAAATTTTAAATAATTACCAGATATTATATGACATCCTTAATTGATCTAGAAAATTACTGCTATTTTTAGAAGTTTTATTAAATTATAATTGATATATTCATTTAAAAATACTTCTAAATATCTGAAAATTTATATTTTCTAGTTTTATAAATTTTAGATTTACATGATTTAATATACAACAACTAAGTCACGTCAAATGTCAAGCTAGAAAAAAAATGAGGCTCGATCCTAGTAGTCAACTAGAGGTAACCTCATCATTAGTAGAAAAAAAAGTGCACTTGTCATTGTGTTTAAATATCTATTATCCAATAAAATTTATAACTAAGACTTAATAAAATATTAGTATAGATGTAAGTCTCAGATCAAACACAAAGATTGATTACTTTATCGTGAAAACTAATTTAGTTATATATAAAATGATTTAAATATTTTATCACTATTTAACAAAAATAAAAAATAAAAGGATGAGGTGAGAAGGATAAAAGAAGGAAAATAAGGAAAGGAAGGAGAGAAGAGAGAGATATCACAAAAGAGAGAGAAAGGGAGAGAAATCTCATGTGAGACAGAGAGAGAAACACCTCACGAGAGAGAGGGAGATTGATCGAGAGAAAGCGAGAAAGAGATGCAAGGAGAGAAATCTCACGTGAAATGAAGAGAGAGAAACATCTCACGAGAGAGAGGGAGAAGGAGATCAATTGCAAAAGAGAAGGAGAGTGATTGAGAGAGAGAGAGAGAGAGAGAGAGAGAGATCTCACGAGAGATGGAGAGAGAAGAATATGTCTCATGAGAGAAGGAGAGAAAGAAATAAGACAATAATTAAGAAAGAGATAAACATGATCGAATTGTTTTCACAATGACCATGATTCTCGAATGAATGTGTGCTCGAGAATTTACAGATATGACATGAGGTCAGCCATAAATGTCTCCACCTTGTTTTAACAATTCAATGCTCATTAATCAGCCGTCAATCTCACTCATTTTACATTCAAAAATAGAAAGATATTCACTTTGTGTGGAACATCAAGAACATGAATGTATCAAGATTTGATTGTGAAAATCAATGGAAAATAAGTTAGAAATGATCTTAGCTTGATCTTAGATAAGTTTCAAAGGATTTGGAAGAAGAACAAAGAACATTCATCAAGTTTTTACTAAGTTATACTCATTTCTATCAAAACATATACAAAGTAGAAATAATTTACTGTAAACTTGATCACGTGAAATGAGGGAGAAAATGAATTGTCATATTTGTGACTATTGTTGAGATTTTATAAATAATCAATAATATCTATTTTATCTAAAAACAATTGATTATTGTGTTTATATGTCTAATGGTAAATACATGTGAGAACTCAAGTTCCTAGTATTGTGGCGCTTTACAACCTGCTGGATCAGATTTGCTTGGTCACGTGGCACATTGAGTGATGTAGGATCAACCAGCCACGAATTGCTGTCGACTTAAGTCCTTGGTATCGTGGCGCTTCCTTAGTTGTCAGATCATCATTTAAGGCCATGTGTGCTGAGTGATGTTGGATTTGCAAACCATCAATAAATTATTTTACACATCTAGTATCGTAGTGGCTCGCCCACTATAGGATCGGACTTATTTGATAACATGGCTCACTGAACACCACTACATGACACCACACTCTAGATAGTTGCACTAAAACACACAAGAAACTTTAGTCCCACATTGAAAATAATTTGACAAATGAGCTAAATATAAATCAAAGCTACAGTTTTTCAGCAACCTTCTCTCAAAATAAAATAATGCCTAGGACCATTTTGAGAGAAGGTAAAAAAAGGTGGTCCACCCTAGTACACATGTGTGTACGATACTCCTTGCTCCACCACTAGTTGCCCACTAAGACATGGCAGGGGAGTGACGCACACGTGTGCAAAATGAGTCCCTTGCCACTCAAGCTCAGCTCATGGCTCCCTTGGTTTGGGTCTACCCACTCAACCACAATGCCCCTTCAAGTCAACTGCCAAGTGCTAGCTTGCCAATGGCAGTGATTTTTTTATTCTGCAAGTTAACACACAAAAATAAAATAAGAAACCTAATTAAAATACAAAAATCTAGCTTTAATAGGTTGGTACCCAGCTTGGGTGCGTCCTTCAACAACTCAAATCATCTTCATCTTCTTCGCTACACAAGGAGCAGAACGAGGTCCCCAAGTGAGCAGCTGCAGCTAAACATAGAAGTAAGTTCATCTTCTACACTATAAATTGGAAATTTACTCAATTGCTGGCGTTCTCATATCTATTATGAAGCTTCCACTTGGAGGCCTCTATCTTCTCTTAGATTTACATCTCGTCAGTGTAGTTGATCACCCGTGCATAGTATAATATATAGGTGGGGAGAATATGAGAAGTGAGGGAAAGAGAGGAAGGGGATGGCCTTTGAAGGGAAATAAATTTCGGAGCTAATGGAGGGTGAGGTGACCTACCGATTCCTTTTGAGACTTGCCCATCTTTGATTGCTATGGTGTGCTTATTGACTATGGCTTCCTCCTTGCCCATAGAAGAATCTTTGTGGAGACCCTTCTTCCTGCTCTTTGTTGAAATAGAAAGAATGAAAGAGGACGTTTAGTGAAATAATGGTTCATAAAATCTCCCAAAGCCGATCAAAATCATCCCTTCCAGCATGAGAGTAGTTATACTATAAAAGCTATTGAAGATAAACTCAAAGAAGCTATTGAAGAAGTGCATTACCCAGGATATCTTTCAACTTTTCGTAGTATAATTACTCTCATGCTAGAATGGATGATCTTGATCGGCTTGAGATTTTTATAAAATGATTATTTTACTAAATTGTCCTATCTTGTTATTTCCCTTTCAACATAGAACATGAGAAAGTTTCCCCCAAAGTTCCCTTTGTGGGGAAGTAGGAAGCAAAACCACATCAAATGAGCCCTCCCACACAGCAGACCAAGAAGCGCAAGCTTGAGGGGGGGCAAGATAGGTGGCCAAGCTTGTAGTAACTCCTCTCTGTCAAAGGCCATCCCTTTCTTTTCCTTCCCTCACTCTCATATGCTATCACCTATATATTATATTACCTACAGATGATCGACTACCCATATGAGATGGTGGTCCAAGGGAAGGTAGAGACCAATAAAAGGAAGCTCCGAGAAGGATATGAAAAAGTTGGTAATGGTGAGTGGATTTCCCATTTCTAGCATCGAAGACAAAACTACTTTTATGTTTGGATGAAGCCAATGACGGGATGCTCACTGGGGGACACAGTTTTCTCTCAGTGCAGCTAAGAATATGAGAAAATTTCAGGTTGTGGCGTTGAAGGTTTCGAATCCTCAATCTGGGGTCTGATCTTAGAGGGCCTGATGGATCCAAAGGGCATCCATGTCATACCTCTAAGTTTATGATGTAATGCTTCACCGGCTCTTTCAACATACTCTCTCTCTCTCTCTCTCTCTCTCTCTCTCTCTCTCTCATTGTATCAACACCCCAGCTCTCTATTTAGGTCCAATGACTACTTAGTTTGCACATTAAAGATGAAACAAGTCAACTATATTTTACTATTTAATGATGTTATAAAGAAATCTTCCATATGCGCTTAAAGTTTTTCAGTAAAAAGAAAGATGATGTTTGGAAAATAAAGGCGATAATAACCTTTATTTTAAGTCAAAGTAATGGAATAAAGAACTTGGAATTAACTAATGGTTTAAACAATAGTGTAACTAGCTACCCATAGAAGTTAACATCACGTGTAGTTTATATAATGAAAATATTTGTTCTCAAAGTCTCCTCAAGAAGGGACCACTATACTTTTATTATTGTTTCTCATTGTTCTTTTCATGAAGAGATGGCTTGACAAGTACATTTCATGATATCATTGAAGTTATAATTAATAATAATACATAAATTAAATTTTTTTGATAAGAAGAAAGAATCAAGATGTTTGAGAGAATAGCCATAACTATAATGTTTGACATATATTATACTTTAGAAAATTTGAAAAATAAATATAAAAATATATTAATTTTTTATATATCAACAGTTGTTGTGAGGACACCTCAAAAGAGTTTGAGGATTTTTTTTCATAAAGATATATGATAAGTCTTCATTATCATGAGTTAATAATTAGTAAATAATATAGTTTTAGCCTTAACTCATGATAAATAGACTTATATTTGTGTTAAAGCATGAAAAGTGGTTTTCAGTTGATTAACGTGAATTTTTGGGTAATTATGTGATTTTATACGATTTTTACAGTCTTAGTTTTGAGATAAATGAAGAACAAGAAATAAAAATAAAAATATTGCAAAATGGGGGGATCCGCCGGCCAGCCGGGCCCGCAAGCGGGTCGGAAGCGCAGTCGGGGAGTAGCCGCGAGCAGGGGCTCGAGCGGCTTGGTTGGATCGGAAGGGGCACGTGTGCGCCACTCCCCTTCCACGTCACCGGTGGTCAGCCGGCTGTGGGGCAAGGAGTGGTCGTACACGCGAGAGAACTTTGCCTAGAAAGCTAACTTTATTGTATATTCGCCCGAATAATCCGCCCACAACCGATGTGGGACTAAATCCACCTTGTAAGGGGCGGGCGACCGCCGCGGGTTCGAATCCTCCCAGAGTCAAAATTCATATATTTTTAACTGATTATCGCGACTTTCCTGCAGATCGCCGGTGAAGGATTAAGCAACCGGAATCGCTGGATCATCGGCGAAAATCTCGTCAACGCGATTCGCGAAGCATTGCTACTAAAATTTCTGAACGATTCGCGATAAAAGGATCGCAATCCATCGAGTAAATCATCTCCGATTGATCGACGAACAAGCCGTCGTCGGGAAGAGGACGATCCGCCGGGAGACCAGTCACCACCTCCTGAGAGCGTACCAGATGCGATGAAGAGCCTCCTCTTGCTGCGCGGACCTGAGGATGAAGCTCCCTAACACGCGCCTCACCTCCATCCAGCTCCTCTCCGTCGGGTGACAGCCGCCGGAGAGCCGCAAAGTCGCCGTATTTCCGCTCCGCCGGGTGACAGCCGCCGGAGACGATTCGACGACCCACTTCATTGGTCTCTAGACTTCACGAGAAGATCTAGAGATTGCCCACGTCGTCTTTGTCCAAGGAGAACCTTCGAGGCCGTGGACACTGCACGACGACCCTCCCAAACGCTCAGGATTCCGGTGCATCGCCGACACGTCGCCATCGCGACGCCGGAACTCTGTTTTCCTGGTTTATCTAGAGATTGCCCACGTCGTCTTTGTCCAAGGAGAGCCTTCGAGGCCGTGGACACTACACGACGACCCTCCCGAACGCTCAAGATTCCGGTGCATCGTCGACGCGTCGCCGTTGCGACGCCGGAACTTTGTTTTCCTGCTTTATTTAGAGATTGCCCACGTCGTCTTTGTCCAAGGAGAGCCTTCGAGGCCGTGGACACTGCACGACGACCCTCCCAAACGCTCAGGATTCCAGTGCATTGCCGACGCGTCGCCGTCGCGACGCCGGAACTCTGTTTTCCTGCTTTCAATTTAATTTACGCTTCATTTAGTAATACTTTGTTGATTTTTATTTACCAAACTATACTTCGTTCAATTACGATTCTTCTGGCTCTTACAGATCTTAATTTGATTAATTGAGTCGTCTGTAATCGCCTACGTAAGAATCGCCGGGCGGAACTCTGTTTCCGCCTGATTCGCGTTCGCCGGGCGCTGACGTCATCCTGACGTCCGCACCCTTATTTCCTCTCTTTTTTTGTGAATTTTAAATATATTTCCTTTTTATTTCATAGTATAAAATTCGTAAGAAAATCGTACTCATTGAGAAAAATTCTGAATAATTACCAGATATTATATTACATCCCTGTGATCGACCTGAAAAATTACCACTATTTTTGGGATTTGTATTGAATTATAATTGCTATATTTATTTTGAAATACTTCTAAATATCCGAAAATTCGTATTTTCTAGTTTTATAAATTTTATATTTGCGTGATTTAATATACAACGACTGAGTCACGTCAAATTTTGGCGCCGTTGCCGGGGATGTATTGCATAATATTTAGTATTTTTCTGTTTTTCTCTTAGAGTACACAAAAAAAAAAACTTTACTCTTGTTTTATTTTCTTTTTGCCGATTTTTATTAGAAAAAGGGAACGAAAAGAAGCACGGCAAGGACTGGAGCATCCTGAAGGAGGGTAACAGTTACTAACTTTTTCCCTTGAATTTATTGATTTTTATGCATGGTAGAAGATCCTTGCATCCAAGGCTAGAAAATCCTTTCATTATTTCATTCAAAAATAAAAATCCGAAAGAAAAATTAATTTTGATGGATCCTGAAGGAAGTACAGGTCAAACTGAGAACAATCCTATGGCCATGAAAAATCATTATATCCCTGATTCATTTCAAAGAGCATCCAATATTAGAGTCCCATTAGCACCCAATTTTAAATTCGAAATAAATCTAGGGATTTTTCAAATGCTCCTTAATTTTCATGGATTGCCTTTAAAAGAACCTCATCAGTACTTAAATAAATTTCATATGGTCTATGATTTACTTAATCTCCCTCAAGTTACACCGGTAATTATTAAGATGAAATTATTTCCTCATACACTTAGGGACAAAGCTAGCCATTGGCTATCCACATTAGATAGAGAATTAATTAACTAGAAAGACATAGAACAGGCCTTTCTTCGAAAATTTTATCCCTTAGGAAAAACTCAAAATATGAGAAAACATATATGGAATTTTTCTCAAAGACTAGGAGAAACTTTACATGAGACATGGGAAATATTCAAAGATTTACTTAGAAAGTGTCCTCATCATGCTATACCCAAGTGGCAGCTCAATAGAATTTTTTATGATGGATTATTAGAACAACATAGAAATATGATTGATTCTATATGCGGAGGAACTTTTATGGAGAAAACTCCTGATGAGATTTACAGTCTTTATGAGAATTTAAGTGAAAATTCTAGAGATCAAGCCTCTTTTGAATTATATGATAGGGATAAGAAGAGAGGAATTTATGAATTGTATCATGATGATGATTCTAAACTTAGAAATGAGGTTAATTAGATTAATCAAAGATTAGAAAAACTTGATTTACTTATTGACAATATTAGAAAGCCTCTTAACCCTCAATTTAATTCAAATATTACATGTCCTACGTATGGTGAAAATGATCATTTCGAATTTCAATATCATCCTAGGCAAGAACAAGTGCAAGTACCTCACGATTTTAGTAAAAATTGGGAATATTTTTCTAATTCTTATAATCCTAATTGGGGGAATAATTTTTCGTGGAGAAACCCAAATAATATTCAAAATCTGGAAGCACTTAGACCCAATTCAAACTCTGAATTTCGTCCAAAACAAGAAAATAGATTTCAGAAAAATCAGCCCTCTCAAACCCAACCTGATGCTATGGAAATGATGCAGCAAATGAGCCAAATGATGCAACAAACTATGAATCAAATGATGCAACAAATGATGCAGCACCAGAAACAAATTATAGAGGCTCTTGAGAATAAGAGAGAAGAGGGACAGCTACCTAGTCAGCCCATAGAAAATTCAGAAAACTGTCCAACAGTAAGATTTCAGCAAGAAGAGTCTAGCTGGATAAATTTAGAAAAAAACCCACGAAATGAAAATGTTAGGGCAGTGAATATATTGAGTGAGAATATTTTACCTGAACCTTATTTCCAATTATTAGAAGAAATTGATGATCCATTAGAAGTAAATAAGAATATTAAGGCCAAAAATGTAGTAGCAGAAAATTTGAATAAAATCAGTTATTGCTCACAATTGATGAATGAATATAGTGAGGATGATGAGGAGAAAGAACCCTTAGATGAAGAAACAGCAACTGATCATAGAAAAATCATCCAAATTTTAGTAGAAGGGAGTAAGGACAGAAATGAAGAAAAATATATTTCAAGTGAGGAAAAATCAACTGATTTGGGAGATGTAGGAGACGAAATTAATGAATCTAATCATAATTTTGCAGCCATGGATGTTGATTGTGAGGATGATGATGTATATCATATACCAAAATTAAAAGATAGCTCTTGGGAAGATGAAGAATTTGATGAGTTGAGAAACGAAAAGCTAGAAAAAGAATTGATTCAACTAATGGGAACAAGCGAAAATAATAGATGTGAATATAGAAATAATTTTGGAGGAGAAAATTTGAATTTTACTGAATTCATTAGATCTGAGATTAAAGAAGACAATCCTTCCATCCTTCAAAACCCACAGCCCATTAGAATTATTTCTAAGCTTGAAATATTTCACTCCTCACAAATTGAACAAATATGTATGGAAGATAAAATGGAGCAGGGAAAGATTATGCAGATAAAAGAAGACATTAAGAAATGGGTGAGTGGAAGAATTAGAGATACCAATTTAGATGAAAAAATTTTAGATTGGGCAAGAGCTAATCTGAAAATTATACGGCCTGATCACATTTTATGGTTTATTAATAGAAAGTATTTATTAATGAATGAGAGCCTAACAAAACAAGATAGAAATAAGGAAAGATTCTTTTCAAAATGGAAATATTATTTTTGGGAAAATTTTGTTAATTTCCATTTTGTTTTGGCTGAAAGTATGTCAAGGTATATATATGAAGTATATGAATTTATGCTAAATCTGAAAAAGAATATCATAAAACTTACCTTGGGATACAAATATATTTTGATGGCCATAGATCAGCTTATATGATATAAGAGCTGTCCAGCTAGAGACATTAAATTCAGCGCTGCATGGGAGGCAACCCATGGTTTTTATTTCATTCTGTTTGATCTCTGTTTTTCTTAGAATTTCGCAGTACTTGTTTCTGTGTTTGTTTTTCTTTCGAAAAAGTGCAGGAGGAGGAGTGTAAGATGAAGTGGAAAATTAAAAACGAGGTTGAGGTGATGTCTTTCTGAGCTTCATCATTTATGAAAATATTTTTAATGCTTAACTTTGCAGATATGCATGCTTCACTTGAAAATTATATTTTCTGTATATTCTGTTTCGAGTTTTCTGTGTCATTGAGGACAATGTCATTTTTAAGTTGGGGGGTGAAGTATTCATTATTAATTTATGCTGTAGGACGATTAAGAATATGTGTTTGCATTTTATTCAACTTAGAACAGCAACTAAAAAAATAAAAATAAAATAAAATTCGGAAAAATTGCAACATCTATTTTCTGGTTTTCTGTCAGAAACAACAGACTGTCAAAAACAGCAGACAAAAAACAGCCCGAAATTTGAAATTCTAGAAGACCCTTTTCTCACATTTCAATCCCCTAGATATATATTACTGAAATTCGAAATTACAGCTATAAAGAAGATAGTTTTGATTTATTTTTGACAAATTTATTCCTGCTAAAAATAGAACTGAAAACAGAAAACGGAATTGTCAGAACTATCTAATTTACAAATTCCTTACATCATATTGCATGCATGAAAAATTAAATCAATTAGATTGATTGATACCAAAAGATACTAGGAAGATTATTATTGAGTCAAAAGAATGATCTAGTAGCATGAAATGTTGGAATACTCCTTGGATACATGATAGATAACATGGATTTGATTTTACAGATTTTCACTTCATGATCTTGATGGATAGTATTTACTTGATGTGAAAATTTGATTGATCATTTGAGTTTAATGGAGATTTTTGCACCCTGATCTATAGGACTTGTGAGGAGAAATCACTTATTTCAAAAAAAAAAAAAAAGAGAGTAATGTGAAAAATCTAGAAACGAAGAGTACACATAGAGGGTGTGAGACATCATTCTCATTGTCGAAAATCGTGCATAAAAAAACACTTGCTGAAAAATAAGTGGATAAAGTGAAAGCCCTGAAAATGAAGAGTACACATGGAGGGTGTGAGACATCATTCTTATTGTCGAAATTTGTCTACAGGAAAAGCTACTTATCCACTATATATATATAAAAAAAAAAAAAAGAAGGAAGAAATATAGTGCAAACTTCAAAAATCAAGTCATAGAAAAAGGGAAATGTAAGATCAATATTATTCTTGGATGAGTATTGATAATTGGAACATCTTGTAAATACATCTATGAGTGAAGAAGTGATAAAGATGTGAATAGAAGAAGTGAAGTCTAGATTGTTATTCCAAGGAGTGTTTAAACATTTAAGTGCTTGACATCATTCTTAAATACTTAATATAAGAATCCAAAGTGTTTAAAGGTGCATCATTTCTAATTGTATTTCTTTTCTGTATTGAAATGTGATGTTTGAGATTTGTAAATTTTTATTTTCGTAATTCCATTGCTAAGGGACTAGCAATGATTTAAGTTGGGGGGTGTGATAAGTCTTCATTATCATGAGTTAATAATCAGTAAATAATATAGTTTTAGCCTTAACTCATGATAAATAGACTTATATTTGTGTTAAAGCATGAAAAGTGGTTTTCAGTTGATTAACGTGAATTTTTGGGTAATTATGTGATTTTATACGATTTTTACAGTCTTAGTTGTGAGATAAATGAAGAACAAGAAATAAAAATAAAAATATTGCAAAATGGGGGGATC